AACATATAAAATAATATATCTTGCTTGACATATCAACGGCGTTTTCACAAATATTCAGAACAATTTACACTTTGCCTTGACAGTAGATAATTTATATTTCCTTATGAAAATCGAGATTTTTCTTTTGGTTTTTACCATCACATTCTGGTACACCTATACTAACAAACATTTCTGATTTATAGTATAAGATTGTTTAATTATGAATACTATTAAGTAATAACGGTTACAGATACACACGTTTTAGTCGTTGCTTTTTGCAGTCTTAAATAAATTTATAAATTATTAATTTAACATTTGTTTCTTTTTCGTTAACAAAATGGCGGAATAGGTTAAGAAAAAGTTTAATACTTTTAAAAGCCACAAATGATACTCAAAAGTAGAATCTACACAATTAAAAAGACACTTACCTATTTAAGGTATAAGGCGCAATTATTATTTTTTCTTAAACGAGGGGTTGTTGAGTATTAATAAAGATTGCATAGCTTTGCGATAAAATAAAAATACTTGCCTGCCTAAAAAATGACTAATAGTAAATCAACAGAAAAGTTTGGTACTTAAAATTATTTCATTTATGTTTTTTTAGTTAGACAAATTACCGAGTTGGTTGAGAAAGTGAAAAAGTCCACGCAATGGCGTCGCTTGGTCACCATGTTTCATTTTCCTTGACATCATCCATTTAAGAACACTGACAAAAAAAACATAACCCTTTGCGCATAAAAAATATAGACTGACTGATTATAATAACATTTTCTTTATTTTTCTCTCAAAACATGATCGTCGTAAGTAAGATTCGGTTTCGTTTTCGGTCAAAATTGAGGTTGTTGCCGAAATTCTTTTTCGGTATCGGTCGTAAAAAAAGGTTTCGGACACTTTACAATTGTATTTGCTTTTTTAATGTATGTAATATCTTAAATTCATGGGTATTATATATAGGTGATATAGAAAAGTGATACAGATAGGATTAAACTCAGACTGTGGCCTGTGTTGGCGCAAGGACTAAGAGAAATATTTATATGAATAATTTATACCTATATAAATATTTTATATCCGTCTGTAGGTATATCTCGTTCACAAATATACCATGACCATATGTTTCAGTGTATAAAAACATCAATTCTTTAATGAAAGTATATTTTTTTCATACCTTATATTCAAAAATGTAAACAGTGGATAAATAAATAAATTTGTTAAAGAAGATTCTTTATTTGGCTATAAAAGAGAAGTATTATGTTTTTATCGTACTGAATATGGTACGCGCCGTTGTAAAATGAGTGGCTAGTTTACAACCCCTCGTTGCGTTGCAAGGAAAAGTGTCATAACCATAAACTCCCAACTTTATGAATACGAGGTTCCATGCAGAGGCTTATAAATACACACACACATGTATAGTTATGTCATTTTCATTGCCTATTATCTATTTTATTTGTTCCTTAAAATTTCTTAATGAATACTACGTTAATTTCGAAATGGAAAATTTCTTTGAACTGTACCTTTTTGTTGCAGGACCATCGCAACTAATATCTGAAGTGCAGTCTGGTAGAGCGACGCCTCAAGCACCCGTTTATGCAACTATAAGACCATCGCAACTCCCAAATAATCGGCCTTCATCCTTATCAGCGCAGTCATCCCTGAATTCATTGCCAGCTGCTCTTAATTCTACTCCGCTGGTTAGGTCTGTCACAGCAAACGATGAACCTCCCCAGCTCAATTTTCATCCAACGAATCCTTTTTATACCACTTTACCAAATTACTCTAGTGCTTCCAAATTACCCGTTCCGAACGGTAGATCGTCCAGTATAGATAAGAGTAGATCCAGAGAAAATACATCTTCGTTTAACGACCATGGTTTAGACATGAAATCACCCTCACGTTTCAACAAAGCCTTCGATACTGATTCTGGCAGTTCCCATCATTCAAACTCTAAGAACAATGGGTTCGAGTCTGACGATACTAAGAGAAGTAAAGGAAACAATGAAAATAATATTTTCGATAGCAAATATAATCACCAAGGTGTTCCATATATGAAAGGTTCGAGTAAAAATCCATTTGAATCGAAAAGAAATAGTGATCCCTTTGAGAAATATTTAAGACCGGAAAATAAAATAAACGGTGAAGGTGAACCATGTGCCATGATAAACTCTATTAGCGATAACAGTTTTCACAAAAAGGAAGAAATTATAAAAAGATCAACAATAACCGAACATAAAGTTAATGAAGTTGAAGAGGTAAAAACTATTAAGAAGCTTATATTGAATGGATCCGCCAGTGGATCAGATTATGAGGGAGAAAAAATTACAACACACTTTCAAATAAATCCTAATGAACGGAGTGAGGTAAAGGCACGATCCCCAAATCAACCAAATAGTCCAAAAGTTTACAATGTTCCTATTTTTAATGATGCAGACCGTTCTAACAATAGGAATACGGGATCTACGTTTAATGAGCAGAAATATCAAATGTACCATTCTACGGTCAAAAACTATAACACTGGAGCTCCTAAAGGTAAGTTTGGTTTATTTTTAATTCTACCCACTAGTAGAATAGGCTTTTAAAAAATTAACATGCGAAAGGATATATATTATTCAAGAGTAAATTAAATATTTAATATAACTTGAAATATTGTGAAATTACATGAAAGAAGGGTCGACCATCCTAATTTATAATTCTCAAATTTTGATGAATTATTAAATTGTACCCATGAAACTTCTCACGGAATTCTTATTTATAATGCCATGAAAATTAGTTGGAAATCATTATTGTGACTGATCTGCGATATTTTCCACGAAAAATTATATCAGTGTTGCAATCCGCCAAGTTTTTCATAATTACTCCATATTACCTACGTAAATATCCATTAAAATAATTTTGTATAGATCGATTCTTTTTCTTGCTATGAAGAATGAAAACAAAGCCAAACCCGAGAATGCCTTTTATGTATTTCGTTCTTAAATTATGCAATAGTTCACTATACACTTTCGTCGTTCGATAAGAATCCTAAAGTTCCGTGACTCACATCATTACGGCAACTCGAGAACTTCACTTATTCAAAACTCTAAAAGAGACTAAAGACTCGAGTAAGTAGTCAACAGTTTGGAAGCCGCTCCGTCGCCTGAGACTAGATTTAAGTCTCCTTTGCTTCTAGAATACACTTTATATATATCTACTTACGTGCTTGTGAATCGTACTATGTTAAACTTAATGAGGAACTAAATAGAAAAAAGTTCTCGAAATCCAACTAGATGTCATGAAAAGTTCGAAGAGTTTGAAGTTGTTTATGAGAATCTCGTTTTTCTTTCTTATGTATAAAATATTAGTTTCGTCAGTTAAGAAACAAGTCATCGTTTATTTTTATTAACATCATATTTCCATTAGGTATTTTTAAGTTACGTGTAAAGGAACGAAAATTTGAATATTTGGTTTATTTTGAGGCTTCCGTTTCCGGTCAAAAATATATATATTAATACGTGAAGCAAAAACTCCGACCCCTTTTTGTAAAATACGTGGATTAACTCGTACCAAAAACAATACATTAATCGATTTTAATACGAAATATGTGGCCATAGTGGCATTTATTACACGACTGCCCAAAAAGGGAGTGTAGGTACTGTGTTTTAGTACGTTTTTAAATACTTATTTATTACGTTTTTTCTGACAGAGGTAGATTTCAATTTTATTCATATTCATCCTTTTGTCATTTGAGTTCTTTTTCCAACATTAGGTACTAATATTTATATAATTATACAGAAGGCATATGAACAGAATCGTCCTTTTCAAATTATGACTTTATTTACTTAATAATATGAAGATTTTATTGTTTATTCAATTAGAAACAGAAGCTTCACTAAGCAATACTTAACAATTTTTAGTAAACATTCTGGAATATGCTTCGCTGTATCTAGATCTGTAGTATTTAATCTTAGTATGAAATCGTATTAACCTAACGCCTGTTCATTAGTAATAGCAAACTTATACGATACGCGCTATTGCTATTTCATTACATCCAACAGTCTGGAGCAAGTTTGGATTAGTAAGCGCTACGAATGCTAATGTAGGTTGCCCATTACAGTTGGTAGGTACTTGATTAATGAAAACTTGGATTTATGACGATACGAAATGATAAACTTTAATTATCCTTATAGCAGGTACAGTACAGTTTATTTCCTTTACACATTATGAGCAGGCATCCATTATATGTCCATCATAACAATGTCCTAGTAATGCATAAATTATGTAGATTAATAAACATTCACATTTTTATAAATTATGTTTTGTATTTAAGCTGCAAATAAAAACTTCCTTTTTGTTATCTGATTCTTTCAGTTTTTATGCCTCTCAGTAGGGAAACGCGCTATCTATCTTTTATGCACTCAAGTGGAAAATTATCTCCAGTAACATAATTACTTTTAGACTGTTATCTTTTTGTATCACTTTGTATAAATTTTTTCTTTAATCACATAATATTGTTTTTAGTGTCACTAATAAATATTGTGTTTTTTTATGTATACACTGTTTTCTCGCGACTTCGCCCTCTTAATTTTGATGCAGTATTACGAAGCTGAAAGCATTTTCATTCAACAACAAAAAAGTAAGAAGTTTTAGTTCTTTATTAAAGACTAAACTTAAAGCTGCGTTTAGTGACCTTGTGAATATTTACTTCCTGCTATAGCAGATTAACAGAACACGACGATAAGGATCATTAAATCATTAGGTCATATACGTTGTCGATCAATCGTTAGTTGAAGTAACAGAGACAAGCCAAGGTTCTGGCACGACTCAGGGAGCGGTGTTACGGTCGAATGTTCATACCAAGTTTGATCCATTGAGTCTCCCGAATCTTAATCAGTGCCGCCGCCGACTTTCAACGTTCTTCTAGACATCAAAGTGGATTGTAGTGTCTTTTGATAATCAAAAATAGTATTTAGTGATTCTTTCAATGTGTATTCAAACACATATCATAAAAGTCTGTGTATCAAAAGGGTTTCAAGTATTATTTAAAGATCATGAATTCGCCATGTTTCGCAACGAGCCCCTACATTTTCCATCCTGTGTCTGAATCGTCGGCGACGGAATCTGAAGACAGTGAAAATTCTGGACGCGAAAAGACGGTCGACGGCGGTAACCGAACGAAGAAATACACCGATCCGAAGAGAAGAACTATTAATAAAGTTAGCAAGAAAATATTGAAAGCCATTGAAAAGCTCACTTGCAACATCAAAAAACATAAGAAGGCCAAAAAGGTCGTTGAACCTACTCCGGTTAGAAATGGTAATGTTGTTTATCTGCCGATTTATAATCAGCAGTACACCAAGTTAAGCAAAATTTTTCAAACCTATTACAATGTTAATTGATTGATATTGTTCTATATCAGGTGCAAAAGTTCACGTTTTGTTGTAATCTGACGTGCTGCTTTGTCTTGTGATTGTCATTAGTATATGAAATGTATCAGTGATTTTTTGCTAATATAGTAAACTAATATTTAACTGTCTAACTAGGACTCCAGGATTACGAACATTTCATTGAATATCGTTTTCACTTAGGTAATCGTTGTCCGAGAGTCAATTGGAAAGGGCGACTTGATTTATATGAACTCGTATTAAAATACGGATGTAGGTAATTGTTCACTTCAAACTAATCACCAAAAAGTCATCGGGACTAGTGATTTTAATATCAATACCCATGTGTGTTTTATTATTTTGAGGAAAAAGTAGGTATTCCAAACTTAAAGTTTTGGAAATATTATGTATAAGCAATCAGTGATACTTATTTAAAAAGGCCGCTATTAAAAAAATATATATTTCTCTGAACAAATATTCAGATAAGTTCGGTTATCACTCAATATTTTATAATTAGGTACTGTTTGCAAAAATAACAACTTCTATATTTATAGACTTTCAAGGTTGCTTCATCTTCATTTCTCATATTATAATATATCGAATATTTTATAAGTTGAGGTATTGTTGTTTATTTTGTTGGTAGATATTACGTCTAATTTTTTTGTAAGTCGTAAAATTCCTTTGTCATTAAACTCTTTGTTTTCTCTACTTCTTCTTTTTTATTTGAAAAGGTATATGAGTAATTCCCAAAGTTCTGAATATAAGGTACTACCTTTGCTACTGCACTCTTATTAGCCATAGCTCCTTCCTTACTATTAAACTATAATTATATTTCATTTTTTTTTAATCAGAAGTTCCTGATATCAGCGCGTTCACCAAAACATACAAGTAAACTTTTCAGGTTTATGCAATTACTATAGATATTCAAATAAAATGATTTAATTCGGTTCATATTCAAGAGGCTTTGTTGTACGAGTATGTTAAGGGGTCTCGATTTTCAGTTCTGATAATCTCCATCAGTTTTCTATGAGACAAATTTTGCCATCAAAATTACTTCATAATTTGATAGAATTTTGATATGAACCAAAAATAAAGCTCGAATTGACAATCTTATTCTTATTTTATTTAAATTCGTTTTTTAATTTTAATTCGTTTAAAAAAATAAAACGTTCGACGTTGAAACAAATGTTTTAGATTCGTTTAGATATAAGTCTATCTTTGTAGGGTTCTAACTCTATCTAAAATCTATTCGAACTATTTGGTTATTTCAAAAGTGTATAACTGAAATACGGGATAGTCACGTTGATAATATTGTTCTAAAGTACCCAACAAGTATCTTCGAAACAATTGTAGGGGTGGGGGGTTAAATACAACTTAAAGGCAAGATAAACTACTACGAATATGTAGGATCCCGGGAAACTGTGATAAACAAAGATATTTGACAAGCCAAGGATAATATAACAATACTACTTTTTGTAAGAAATAAAAAAATATCTTTCATCCTGGGAGAAGGAAAATAGCTGTTTATTTATGAAAGATAAATAAAAAATTACCAAGAAGTCTATATGAAGATTTCAATAACTTTTTGGACTGAAAATGGATTAGATATACTTCTCTAATAATGCAAGACGATTTTTTGTATTTTATATTTATATATGGTTATATATTTAAATATGCTTAAAATACACACCAGCCACAAGTACCCGGAAGTTCGACCAGTGGGACGTTTTGGGTTCGGGTCCCACCTCAAGGTACTTGGAGCTGGTGTATTTTTAAGCATTATTCATTAAAAATATTTTTCAGTACTTATAGATATTGTGAATGCAATATAACAAATATAATAGTTTATTTTGTTTATAAAATTTTCATTTTGAAGTACCGTGATTTCTATTGTTAGTATAAAGTATAATAGCCATATCGAGAAAGCTTATGTTAAAGCAATAATTCATTATATAGTGAAATGATAGTGCTTGAACATCTGTGGATACATACAAATAAATAATTCCGTGAAAGATGCAATGCAAATGGCAACAAACGAAAGACGTTGTCATACATAATGATATGCGAAAAGGAAGCGATAATACTATTTTAATTTGACTATTATAAATTGAAATCTTTATACCCAAATATAATCATGCGCTAAAATATAACTTATAGATTATAAAAGCAAATTAATAGCTTCATAAACAAATATTTATTCTATATAAGATAAATGTTAACATGAAATCTATTATAATTGCATCAAGATATTCATTAACAGTACTTAATGAATATCTTTTGAAGCAATTTAATTTATCATGGTTTACTAAAGTTATGCACCTTTGGAGCATAATATCGCTCTTAGTGTGCAACAGTTTTACCGGCTGCTCTTCATTTGAGAAGGTCAATGCACTCGTACTAAGTTGCATGTTATTTCTTGTAACATCTGGCTTTTCATTATATGACTTTATATATTACGATACGGATACGGCGTGAAGATGTAGATAGATAGACATATATAAATTTCATCTTATTGATTTTACTTATTTATATTTGAGATTTTCTACTTTATAAATTTTTGATTTGAATTACTTAAATCTTTTCTTTCAAATGAACCAATTTTTGATAAATATTGCATCGACCGGTCGGATCCATCGACGATGTACATCCAGTCATGTTATCGTATGATGAATGTTGATCAATCGAATAATTTTTAGCATAATAATCGTAATCTCAGAACATAAAACAACTAGATATAAGTTATCTATGAAGTTGTTCATATATTAGTTGAGGTAGCCTGGTAGAGATGGTTACCTTAGGAATAAGGCCGTATTTTGTGTCTATATTTATTTTGTCTATGTTTTTATGTTAATGTTTTACATTTTTCGGTGATCGGTATTTTAAGCTCTTCTAAGCAAAACCAATATTTTCATGTAGCCTAGAATTTTTATGGACTGTACATTAGGTATCAATAAACTCCACATTAGCCTGGTCCGGAAGTGTTACAATAGGTTTCCTACCATACACACAAAAGGTAAAGGGCTGCGCCTACGCATTACGCTACATTGATAGGCACAGTTCCGTCCCTTTGATGGATACGATTCTTCTCGCTCCAATGAGATCGTTACACACAGAGCTGCATTCCGTGTGTTTTCAACTATATAACACTTTTTTGTTCTCCCTTTTTAGTGTACTACAAGATATAGTAATTTACTAGTTAAGACTCTTTTTTTTAATTCGAAAGTGGCTTGCCAGCGTGAAAGCTTTCAAAAATGAAAATAAATCTCTAAAAGTTAATAAGCTTAATGTAATGCCGATTGAATGACATAATGTTATTATTATTTAATCATCATGGAAATAAAACAATAACATCTATCTGAACATCTGAACGAACGTCGGTGCAAATATGACGGAAGAAAAATCAAGCGTCTCACAGATACTTCTTCATTCCGTCGAGTATCTTAGTCTTATAGCCCTTCTCCGACTAGCGAAGGTTCACAGCCATAAATTATGTAGTAAACTAAGACGAGGCGAAACAACTGAACTGCGCTCGTAATCCCCGGCCACTTCCTGATATTATGGAGCCATCATTTCTTCCTCCGACCTACACGTCTTTTCCCGTCGCTATGCAAGGTTGAATATTATATATAGATATTAGGTATTAGTTACCGCGACGATACGTGATAATAATGAATGATCTAAATAGATATACGTACCCTGAGTATGGCTCCGTGCTTGGTACTCAAAACTTGTGCTAGAACAATCATGCTCTTGCATAAGCGCGCCATTGATTTTCCCGTGCAAATAAAACAACCATCTTAAAGAGATCTGTGATGCGTTTAGTCAGTTTGTTTATCTGAGGTCTGTTTAAAATGGCAACTAGCGAATACTGGATGAAAACGATTGAAAGGAACCGACAAGCATTCCCACGCAAATTGAATTGTAGTGTTGCAATGTGGTCGGGCTTAAATGTTTATTCAATGTTTGTTTTTAGGGTTTCGTGTCTCAAATAAGAGTCCTTATAAGATCACGTTTATGTCATAGCTTTTTGCTTCAATACTTCTAGACTGGTTGTATTATTATTTATAAGTCGGTAATCTAAAGACGGACGTGTAACATCATCATCATCAGTGCTCTTTCTTACGTCCCCACTGCTGGAATTCAGGCTCAGGCCTTTGGCTCTATGCGGATTGGAGGGTATTAACGACTACAAATACAGGCGGTATCAATGGTTTAACGAGTCTTCCGAGGCACGGAGTAGCATTTTGTTCATATAATACTTTGGTCACCCATCAAATGATCGAACCTCGCAAAAGTTGCTTAACAACAACGATCACGAACCGCGGTGCTTATTCACTACGATCCACTACAAACGAATAAAATTTAAATATAGCGTTAATTATCTATTGTTATCATCCATCCATTGAATCTAAAAGTCGTTATTAAACCTTAATCGACGTTTATATTTGATGGTTGCCATTCATTTATTATATAATTTATAATTAACAGTTTTAAGTTATTTCTGTCTCCAGATCTAATCGGCTTGAAATTTATAAATAATTCAAAACGTTATTTTCTTATTTCTTGTTTATATATTAAAGCTAAACATAAAAACTGTATGGTTTTTTATATATTTAATTATAATACGGAACCCTCCCTCGGTACGCGATTCTAACTAGCGCTTGGCCGTTTTTTCCTTCAATATTATGAATCAATGTCGTAATTTCATATCCTAGATACTAGATAGGTACCCTGTTTATATTAAAGACGAATAATATTAGATGTTATGACTGTTTGTGTTTAATGTCATTGCGCAATCTCTGGATCATGACTGCAATGAACTAAGCAACTGATAAATTACAGTTCTTAGTACAAATAAAGATAAAACTTAACAACCTTGCTCTAACTAGATCCTGTAGAAATGCTAGAATTTATCGTGATATGAAACGCGTTGCATCTGATTGTTATAAACCTACATAATATAGTTACATACCAAAGAAATATTTTCATTGTATGTATTAATACTATATTATACA